TTTTTTTTTTTTTACAATTAGCAACTATTACATGTATACAAATACAGGGACTCGCGTGTAGTGTCGGTCCAGGCCGTTTCGTCGACATTATGGGTTTAGGAGATGTTCGAAATGACTAGATAATTTGGCCAACTTAATGTAAATTTGCTAATCTGTTTTATGTACGTACACATAACTGCACGAGACGACAAAATGATAGCACAATTCGTAGCATGTTTTGATACAGGAAGCGGGAGTGAGTTTTTAGCGAATCAGAATGCAGTGCACAATGCACCAAAAAAAAAAAAAAAAAGCATTATGAAAATCCGCGAAATAGCGAATCCGCGATAAGTGAACCGCGAAGTGGCGAGGGATCACTGTATATCTGAAAATATAGTAATATAGTAATATCTGAAAAATAGGAAGAATATTGGATTTTTTTAGTCTGAAGTCTTTCTTTGGCCCCTCAACAACATGTGAAGAAAAAAAAACAGAAATTATTTTGATCAAATTAGCGTGCAATAAGTCAAAAATATATGTTGGTGTAGTCTTCTACTGGCTGTTATCAGGTATATCTGAATGTGTACAACAGGGGTTTGAGCAAAGCTTTTACCACTGAATGATGCAAATAGTCTCAGATCCAAAAGACTTCAGAAACCGTATGAATCAATTATGATACATTTGGCATTATAGGGTTAAACCTGCCATTCCTATCCCAAAATACCAATTCCAAAACACATATGACAAGCAAAAAGTCAGCAAAAGTCCAAAACTAAGCGTCTTTTAAACTTTTAAACTAAGACTAATAGCTGCCCGGCCGTAAATTATCCAACATGTCTGACGGCTCCTGATGGATTCTGCTGATTAGCTGCAGACTGCCAGCATGCAATAACACGCACAACACCAACGGTATCAGCACGTTACCAGCTCTCCCATGCGGAACCGACACAGAGTTACATTCATTTTACACACCGGTTGCTCAGAGCACGATGCCGTTTTCTTGATTTGACTTGTTTCGGATTAAACAAGTCTGTTTCGTTTAGCCCAGAGCCTTCCCTTTGAAATCCACCTAGCTTAAAACTAAGAGCCGATGTCTGCTACAGATAAAACAAACATAAGCAACACAGTCCAGGTTAAGCAACACAAAGTGCCCGGCTCATCCCTGGTAGTAGCATTACTCTCATATCCTCCTGAGACCCGGCCCATTCATTTATGTCCATTATAGTGGACATTTTGTCCACCTGTACCCCCCTAAGTATCTGGAGTTACCCTATCAAGCCCTATAGTGTTCTAGAGGACATCCTGGGCTTTCCAGTGATGTGCCATGTGATAGGTTTGCATGCTGGGAACTTTACTTTTTCCCTAAGAGTTCTTAGGTAAATATCCCTTTCAAGACATCTTCTTTTTTATTATTTAATTATCTAAAGCCTGTTCTATTTTCCCATGCAAATCGTCCTGTTGTCCTCCACAGTGGACACGCTGTGAAATTAAAATTAAAAATATATATATTTTAATTTAAATTGTTATGTTCTTTTTTAGGTCCAAATACATGGAAAATCAGAACAAAAAAGAAATTTGAAGACACTTTTTTTCTTTGGGTCTCAGGAGGATATGATTGATTTGTGATTACAGATCCACAGTGATGGTCGGCATCATTGTACTAATTTGCAGTTGTAGTTTTTTCTTGCAAAAGAAAAGAGAAAAAAATGGCATCCAGCTTTCAGCTACTTGGTTTGTAATCAGTGGGATGCGTTTCACTATGGTTTAAATCCACCCATCCGGACTGTTTTGGTGTTGTTGTTTTCCCTCCATCTGGCAGCTGGTGGACGTTAGTCTTTGTGCACATGGCTGATCATCTGTAACGTGCACTGTGTCCAGGTGAGGACCGGCGTTTAGCAGCTGTTTACGGCCCTAAAAAGCCTCACATCGTGAGAAAAAGTGCCCCGCTCCATAATCTGTAATTAGCCGGGTCCTGTTGGAGATCTCAAAGTGTTGCAGGGTGTGTCTGGGAGAGGGATGGGGGGCAGAAAAAAAGCTTTAGTCGTTTCCTCTGTCTGTCTAGTCTAAACGTCAGGCTCGTCTGATGATAAAATAAGACATTAGTTCCCTTTTCTGATCATTTTTTTTACTGAAATTGTCTGTCAATTAAAATGCATTTTCACACCTTGGTTTAGCAGATCTCAGTAAGAGGAAGCTTGAAATCAGATACAGAAAGCACATCGTTTTCTGAAAAACCACAAGCAAAACCATAATTCTCCTCAATATTAGCACCCTTCAGATGCACTAAGACTTATTTCTGTTAGTGTTACACAAAAATGCACATGTAGACAGGCTGATATCTTTTTGAAAAATATCTTCTCATTTATCATTTTTATGTGCAAAACTGTCTCCCGATGATGTCATTGCTGCTCATGAAAAAACATGATTCTTCTGCCTCCCTTAAATAACCGTGCCACCCGTCTGTTTGCCCTATGTTCAGAAAACCGTGTGTCTTCTTCCTGGTTTCTGTTCCATTTTCTGCCGCTGGTAGTAAAACAAACAGGACACACGTCTGAAGAACAGTCCAAATATCTAGTGTCTTCCTTCTGAAAGCTGTTTGCACGAGATGGTTTTCATGTTTCTAGAGAATTGTTTGCTCATTTTTTCGTGCAGATTCGATCTACTTCTCATTTTAAAAACATTCTGCCGTGGCATAATGTGCATCCTGTTGTAGTCAAAATAAGCTGAAACTACTATGAATGCAACACTTTTATGTGTGAAAATGTATTTTAACACAGCAAAATCCAAATATAAAAGGTTTACAATCCATGCACGCCCCTTGTTTCATTTAATTTAGGCGATATTATGAAGATTATAGGAGAATGAAATCATTTTTAAAAAGATGTGAGGTCTATACTTTGAGGAAATAGTCTGTTCCTGATGATATGCCAAAGTCAAGTAAACAGAAGATCTCCAAATCTTTCTGTTTGGCAGCACACTGACACATGAACCTCCATCATATCTTGGTTTATCTCTCATTTACGTCTCAGATATGTGAATACTAATCAAACAAAGCCTGAAACGTGACGCAAGTCTTTGGCCAACAAATGTGTTTTGTAGGTTTTCCTCCTAACGGCCAGCTTCAGATCCGAATCATTGTGTCATCTAACAGTCTGGGAATTCCCTCTCTGGGAAAAAAAAAGAAAGAAAGAAGGAAGGAGGGGCAGTGGGGAAAGAGCT